CACGTATATGCCGTTCGGGGTTGGTCCACGAAAGTGCATCGGCAATCGTTTCGCATTGATGGAGACCAAGATAGTGATAGCTTATCTGTTGCACAGGTTCCGTTTGAGACCGACAGAAAAGACGACGATACCGGTCGAGTTTAGCCGAACGAATTTTTCTTTAACTCCTGACAACGGATTCTGGATTGGTTTAGAAAGGAGGAATCTTTAATTTTACCTCCGTTTTCTTTCTGTATTAATTATGAATTGTCGTTTTTTAGAATTATAATTAAATTTTAAGTCAACGATTTTTGTATTGGAATAAGAAATGTTTTATTTTTATATGTGGAAAATGTTTGTTTATCAATGGTTAACAATATTATGGAGTAATAATAGTAGTAGATTAAGTATGTTGTGATGTCAAATGAAATGTATATAAATAAAAGAAGAGAAATTTTTGTAAAAATTAAATTTTCAACATTTGTAATTTTCTTTTGTTTCTTTTTACAAACGAGTAATGTTTCGATATTTTTTTTTATATCTGTGCTACTGATTATTTAACGTGCGATATCTATTTCAAAGGTACGGCACCTTTACGAAGCTCGATATTTATTATAACGAAGGGTACCATTTTATTTCCCTTCCAAAGTTCAAGTAATATCATGGTTATATTTATTCTCGTGCAACAGTTACACGCATCTACGTAGCTGATTTTGTTATCATTTCTGTTACGTGTATTGCTTCTTTTAACGAGATAATCTATAGTTAGCGACACAATTATTCGGAATTTATGCATTTATTCTTCATTCGAGAAGGATATTTCATTTAGATGGAAACGCGAAAATAATTTTTTTTCTCTTTTTATTTTAGCAAAACGATAGAACAGATTTCTGTTCTTTCCGTGATAAATATTTACAGTGCCATAATGCATTACGATAATAATATTAACCAATCGAATACTCACCGATACCAAACCGGTTTTATCTAATCACATGTATAAAGCATTAGATTTGTTTACGCGTGCAAGGTTCAATCACGTTTCTAATTTTTCAACCATTTTTTTAGCCTTCCGCGTTCACGTTCTTCTGTTTGTTGTAGATAAATTATCGTAGTTTATCGTACTATATTACCTTAATTTTTTCAGCTACACGTTTATTACATTTTTCTTATCATTTTTTTTTTAAATTCAATTTCTCTGCTGGAAACAGAATTCATTTTGATCAAAAAAATTACGACCACAAGTAAATCTCGGTATTCGTGGTGTAATTAACAAGAGATTTTTTTTCATGGAAAAATAAGTTGAAGAATACAGTTTGTGCGTATGAAGCTTCTTTTTAAAGAAAATCGACTTTGAAATCGTCATATCATTTAAATTATTCGTTATTTTATCAATATGAGTGTTTACAGATATTGGTGATTTAAATACTAAAATATATATATTAAAAATGTTCTTTTTATTATATTATAAATATTGTTTCAGTGTTCCCTGCATTCTTCATATGGAATTTTAATTAACGAATTAAAAATAGTTTTCAATTGTATCGTGATTCCTAGGATACTTCTTATTAACAATTAAATATATTAATTTCACTCGAATACAGAAATTTGAATGATTCCAGCACCGTTTCAAAAACATTCTAATTCTGGCAGTATTTAATTATTTACTTAATTAATAATACTATACGTATAAAAATTAGTCTTTTAGATTGTTCACACGATGTTGACTTTCACTCTAAAAAAAGTGGTCTTCACCTTCGCTTTGAGTGCAGTTCAAGAACAACTGCGCTGATTATGACACAGATAGAAAGCAATGGGTTCAATGAACTCCGAGTTACTTTTCGTTCAAGTGCTTCTAAACAGTCGTACTACTGCTGATTAGCGTTGCGTAATAACTGAGTCAACAGTAATCGAGGAATTATCGCGAACCTACAATCGCCATTTTTTTTCTTTTCTTTACGAATGGATTTTTTTTTTGTTTCGTTCTCGTTATCCCGGTGTTTTCGATTATCCGTTATATAAGTTAAGTTTAGAAAAATAAGAAAGAGGAAGGAAAAGAAAAGGGAGAGAAAGGAGGAAAAATGAGGAAGGGCAATTTGAAAGTTTAAACTACGGTGAGCAAAAGGAGCTATTTTCCCAGGTTAATCGTTTGAAATACAAATTTGCATAGAAAAACACTGCAGACGGTAACTCCTATCTTCCCCTTCCATCACTGAGTTTCGGATGTTTTAGTCAGCTTCAGGACTGTCGAAGTTCTCGACTTCTGTCTTCTATTCATGTTTATTTTTGCCAGTCTGTTTTCGTTACATCCAGTCTTTTCTTCCACTCTACCTTCCTAATTCCTTTGTTCCTTTCTTTGGTTCCTCTAAACCCTTTCTCACCTTGTCCTCCTTATCGTCGCTTCGTCGAAATTTTCCCCGGAGAATTTTTCTAAAAATCTAAATTATTTCGAAGCTTGATATATTTCTCTAAATTTTTTCAATCCATGCACTTAACATTTACGGAACAGAGAAGTGAAATTTACAAGTGTGCTAACGACTAGTATATCGTTCTTATATTTTTACTTTCACATTTCTTAAAATGTAAAAATATCCAAATTTTCAATTTTACGTGAAGTTTGTTGATTAAAAAAATAAAAACACAACGTACACGTTGGCCAGCATGAAAAAACAATTTGGCGACGCGGTTGCTGGTAGGCGGAGCTCGGATTATGTAGGACAAGATGGAGGACTGGGGAGTTTTAATAAGCAGTGGGAGTGGTTTTAATGGGTGATATCTTGAAATCTAAAATTCATTAAATCGAAACACCGAGGCTGTTGCGGAAATTTGTAAGTGGCGATACTCGGGCTATTATAAAGAAGGCACGACATGCGTCGTCGTTTGGGAATAGCTGAACTTCTTAATTACATTGCTATGCTTCAACTAAGTTATAGAAGAAAGTACCCCTATGAAACTTATTCTTGAATAATTAAACGTTCAGCGTGAAGTTACACGCTGTAGCCGACTCGGAGATTCGTCCTTTTGAATTCTACATTTTAACGAAAGTTTGCGGGAAACAAAAATTGTAAAATTTTTTTGCAACGTATATATGTATATATCGGCGCAGCGTATATAATCGTAATAGGCAAGGCGAAGGTCAGCGGTCAGGGGTGGGGATAGCGTATAGCGAGCACGCCACGCACGTCCAGGTATAGTCGGTGGAAGAAATATAGTTGTAAGTTTGTTCAGGCGTCCGCATTTACACGTTCGAGCATATGGACAAGCGAAACGACGGGAACTTGAGAAGATAAGGTCTCGAAGTCTCAAAGTCAGGGCCGTATGAAGTGTGCCTTAGTTTTGATTCAGCTCCTATTGAAAAACGGTTTTTTTTTCTTAAGGTGTTTATTGGAGTCCCAGGTGTTATTGCAGTATTATTGCTAAGTACTTTTTTTCTGTACAAACTTTTAAAAAAAAAAATGGAGAAATATTGGATGGTTTTTTTTTTTTATTTGTGGTTGTGTCTTTTTCTGTGATTGTCTCTCACGTCTGTTTGTCTATTGAAAAATGTCAAATTCTATATGCTACCTTGGATATCACTGCTATTTAATATTTTTACTTACGACCGTTCTGTATCCATCGACTATATCGAGCCATGAAACTATGGCTCGCAGTACTTGGACGTGTTGATTGACTAGTGGAAGGGACGAAAATCGGTACAGAAGGACCAGATTCCTGGAAAAAAGGTGTCGTCTCGAGACAATGGTACAGAATATCCTAACCCACTCGCGGACGCAGGAAAGTAAGGTAGTCGGTAATCCACTCCTCGAAGCACAATTCCTTCCAGAGGAAATCTGCCACCTAGCTTGGATTGCCCAGCTTGGACCAGCCGGTATCTCTTCTCTACTACTCTCGCCTTTTCCTATTTTCCTTCTATCACGTCCTTAGAAGTTTGCATCCAACCTGGACCGTCCAGTATGGCAGAACTTCCCGACAAACCTCTTCGAGGTCTTCATCAGAAACCGCTGACGAAGAAGAGATTCTTCCACATGTTTATATTTTTCGAAAATTGTATTATTGTGAAAAGAATTGAACATTTGCTATACTCGTACGAACTAATTCATGTAACCCAATTCCTCCTCTTTTTTTTTTTTCAGGAATAAAATGACGTATGCAAATTTTTGATGAAAAACCCATCTAGTTATAAATTTGCAGAGATTTTATTTGTTTCGTGTTCGGTCATTAAATTATACGGTCCATTACTTCAAGAGTGGATTTTGGAAAATTCGAAACATTTAGTTACTCCTTTAATTGATCATTGCTAATTCACACGGTTGTAATATTCGGAGCTCGGTAAAATTGTACGATTTCGTAAGCGAATAAGGTTACGCTGAAATAAATTCGTCCTGTATACAGAGTTGGAAATGTAATAATTTTGTGTAATTTCATCGGTGTTTATTCAGTTCGGTGTAAATAAGTATTAATCGAAGATACTTTCATTTACAATTTTAGTAATTGTCCGGTGGCGTAAAGTGACAGTGAAAAAAGAAGCGAATGAAATAAATTAATGAGAAGTTGTGTATGGATTGAGTGTAGTAAGAAAATCGAAAGCTTGTTTCTCGTCTCAGGACGCCGATCGAAAGTTTGCCAGAACTTAAATCGAGATCGGGGAAGTTTTGAAATTAATTCTTATTGAGCTTTGAACCGACTCGTCGAACGCGACACGATTTCTTCACGGCCCTCAACTTGCGTAATAACCTTTCGCTATGGAACTTTTCGTCATGGAGTACCTAATAAATATTAAATTCGTACCGTTCGTCGTCGAGCATAACGATCTCGATATAATATTATATAATACATATACAAGTTCCTTTTTTATGAATTCCTTAAACGCTTCTTTTCCCTTCCTTTTCGTTTCTTCTTCTTCTTCTTCTTCTTCTTCATTTTTTTCGTTTGACTTAGAAAATTCCGATCAATTGATTAGCTTGCTGCACGAATGGCTTTATCTATGTTTCACGTGAAATATACTTCTTTTCCCTTTGTTTCAGTGGATCTGCTTCAAATGTTGGAGTTCAACTTAACGGTAACGTTTCCTGCTGCATCTCTGCTCACAGTGCTCCTGGCTCTTGTCGGTGAGTTATACCAGTTCCATCTTTCTCTCTTTCTACCTTCACCGTCTAATATTTTAGCCGCAAAGCGATGTTGAAACAGTTTCGCCAACATTTATGTGTCCCTAAGTATATCGGTATATTCGGTATTGTGATTAAAATGGACTAGGATATACTTTTCAGTCAACATTTCCGAAACAATACCGGTACAATTACTAAATGAGAAATGTGAGAATAATTCATATCAGAACTTGTGACGATCGCGACAAAAGACAGCAAGTAAAAGTAGAAAGGTAAATTTCCTGAAGGTATTAGTGTACATTCCAAGAAACACCTGAGAATCTCTAGAAAGAACGAAATCGTGGACTTGCAAGGATTGAGAAACCCGTAAAATAATATGCAACACATCGCACGTTTCTTCGAAAGAAAAATACGGTATTCGTTACACGTTTAGACAGTGCGGTGCGGTGCCGTGTGACACGATTGCGCAAAGGTGTAGAAAAGAGGTTAGGGTTTCGGAAGTGTTAAGTTCTGTTCTAGTAGTTGACGGAAGTTGAGCGCGTGCCAGTATAGAGAACGGTGCAAAATATTAAAGGCTTTTTACTAAATCAGGGCCTCTCTCGGTTTCGTTCCCCCGCTGATACGACGTTAGCTCAGTTACAAAGCTGATTGGCCGGGACGGTTAACCCAGGATTCTGCATAAATTTCTGATGAAGGCGCAACAGTTGGGTAACCCGCTCGGAGCCCATTTAGTAACGGTGGCGGCGTCGGTGGTTTCCCTACCACCGCGACGCCCATTTCCATTTCAAACTGAATCTCCTCTTTACGCTTCGCATGTCCGTCAGCACCATCCAATTGACCTGCATAAAGTGCGATATCGCTAATCCTCTCGCAAGATTATCCAACGGTTCCGAAAACACTGATAAAATTTAATATACAGATTCATCGTCGTCTTCCCTACCCCATCTGCCTTGCCTCTCTTCTTTTCACTTTCTCTTCGAGGTATATTGCTGTCGCTCGTTTTCTTCCACACGTGAACGATAAGCTGTGCCCTTCGTGACGAAAGTGAGACATCGGGTCGCGAGCGTTGATGTCAGGACACTGAACTTGATCTCGTTGCCACATCGTTTCGTTATTATGCTGTTGTTGTTTTTTTTTTTCAACAGAATTTGTGATGTGCTAAATTTCGCGTGATGTGCGTCATAGGTTACACGAAGTTTTCCAGTTCTTGATTCGATATGCAATTGAGAAATAGCTTTGTTTGTTTAGTGAAATGTCGCTTGTAGATAATATTGAACTGTGTATGTGGAAATAGTCGTATTTATGAATCTGTGACGTTATTCTTTGTTTCGAAAAGTCGACTTTTTTCGTTTTTACATATTTTGAAATATGTAAGTATCGTTCGAAAGAAACGTGTAGGGTTGTTCGACAGGCGTCATTACAGAAGTTTAAACGCGTTTTTCTCGAAACAGTTCATCCGATTAACTTCATCTTTCTGAGACGTATTCTAAATAAGAGTCGTTACCGACTCACGAAGACTTTTTTAAATAAATTGAACCATATTTGAATAATAAAAGAAAACGTACGGGATTTTACATGAAAATCACAATCCTTTTCCTCAAATTGTTACTATTGCCACAATTTTGTTTTCCAAAAATTCTCCTCGTGAGTCGAAAACTATAATCCCAACAAGTGTAAGAATATGGAAACTTTCTATTTCTGATCACTTCTACTGGCTGAATTACGCTCTCCAAAGGGACCGTTTTACGCCATTGCACGCAGAGACCATATTTCCAACAATTTTCAATTTTCCATTCCTATTTTCTGCTCTCTAAACAGGCACTTTTATAATACGAAAAGAATTAAACCAACCAGCCTAACAGTTTCTTCTCCAATCACTCCCAAAGATTGACCATTTTTTACCGTCGAGAAACTTGAACGACCCCTTAAAAAAGAAGTATGCAATTGCATTTTTGACCGTGCTTTTATATCGAACATCAATCACTTTATTTAACACCGAAGCAACGAAAATATAACCGTTGCAACGGTGAATTTTCGTGAGGAGTGGTCAAGGTCTGGTTTGCTCGTGTTTATGGTATATCGTTGAGCCACCAGTTGCATGGCCAGTATCTGAGCAAAATGGCAACAGAAGTGGTAAATTTCCGGATTCATAGTGCAAGCATCGGGTGCGCAGCGCTTGTGTGTATGTCGGGTTTGCCGGTGGATGTAGAAGAAGGAAAGGAAGCCTTAGGGAAGTTGTTATCTGGAGTAATGGGTTCCGGTTCCTGTGTCGTTTCCTGCCCTCCATCCGTCATCCTGCAGCTCTCTCTCTCTCTGGCGAGTACTTCTACGATTTCTCAGCTTTCTGCTCTTCTTTCCCCTCTTCGCCAGCGAAAAGGAGCATTCTCTGTTATATATCTGCGATAACAAACACCGAAAGAATTCGATTTTATTTAGGGGTGCTGAAATTCGTCAATTTATTAAACTTCTTATTCGTGAGTCGTTCGTAAAAAAGTATTTCCTGTGAGATGATAGGGAGAAAATGAGGAAAATTAGAAAAATTGAGCGGCGATAAAATAGCTTTGAAGTACTTGAAATGTATCTCCAGTATATTTCATATTGTACAATTAATTCTCGTCTTTTTCGATAGAAACGATGTGATTCTTTCGGAACGAAGTAATCTTCGTTCTTTCAAGAATGTTAACGTATATTATACATATGTTAATTTTGTCAGAGTTGGATCTTACCTCGAAATTTATTGCACTCGTAACTTATAATTTAACAATAACAGAGAACACACGGCTAATGCGGACTTATGAAAGCAGAATTGGCGTTTGTAACCATGCGGCATCTCATGCCACCAGATCCAGTGGAAATGCGCGATGGAATTTGAAGCTGAGCAGTAGTTGCAGAGCAAGTTGTTAGGGTTAGATAGTTGAATCAACATACAGAGCGTCATTGATCTGTTCCGTGTTCAGGGAGCTTGAAACATGTGTACAATGTGCCTACACGTGTTTCAGGTAAAGTAATCATGCGCATACATCGGCTTTTCTCTATTTCTCTCTCCTTTGACAGTGTCTGCTTTCAATATCATTTACATAGTTTCTCCGCGGTATTGTAAGTGTTAAAATACATGGACAAGGTCATACTTCTAGATGATACACTATGGTAGCATAGTTAATATTATGTTCGACAAAGTTAATAGAATTTCCCTCGGTTCGAAATTTGCCGAGGAATAGTATGCGGCCGTTGCAGATGCCGATACAAGAAAGTAAACCTCGTGTCTCTAAATTATAGTTTGTTTTCACCATGTTCGCTTTTATCGCCGCGAAGTAGAATAATTTTGCTCACAAAGTCGAGAACTTTTCCACGTCAGATCTGTTTCAATCTCACTTCGATCCCTCCGGCGTGAGAAAAATCGCTGCTGTACAATCTAATCATAATCATCCCAGCGTAGACAGCGAAACGTTCTTACTGTGAAACATGCGTCGGGGCGGTTCGAAAACGTCCCCTGCCATACTTGTGCTCTGATACGGGCAGGGGGAAGTAGTTTCGACGGGGTCATAAGTAGATAAACGAAACAGCAGCGAGTGCAACATGTTCTGACCGTGGCTGAAAATGTGTTTACAGCATGTTAGGCGGTCAATCATGCGTCACTGACGCGCAGGGGCGCCGGTGACTCCGTTCTTTGACGTTCCATTATGCAAAATCGTCTTCCTAGTCGTTCCCGACGCCAAATGCCGCGCGACGCGTGGTCGATTTCACGTGAATTCACGCCGATGATACACAGGTCGCGACAAAATCATGAACGCAACAACCGTGAACGACGAATGGAACAACGAAAATTTCAGAGAAACCGCACACAAAGGGGCGCACACGCGAGTGTGTGCGTGTGCGAAAGATTAACCGCGGCTGGAACTGCGGCGAACGAATTCGACCAGAATAGAAAAACAGTTTCTGCCTTGTCTTTCGTTTAAACGTGCGTGTGTTTCAACCCTTGCACGTTCAAGATGAGTTCAACGAACTCGCGCGTCTAGGTTTTTAAAAATCTTTCGAACAGGGGAAAACACTGTGCAAGCCTGCGTTCGAAATAGAGGTTCGGCGATATGGCTGTAGCTCCGCCATTTTCTAAAGAAAATAAATGAAAAAATTCTCTTACATTCTTAAAGGGTAAAGTAATACAGCCCTGAAGAGAAATTTTTGATCGAGTGAGTGATTTGGTTAAAAAAAATTGCCAAAATTTGGTATCATTTTGAGGTCTCAGGGGTGGTTTAACCCTTTAATGTAATTTCGATAGTGTTCTGCATGAAGGAAGAACGTGTCATTTCGATTTCATCAGGGACAAGTGCGTCCAATCTCGGATTCTATCGAGTTCAAGCATACTGAGTATGTTCAGTCAGTAGGAAATATTATGTCCATCAGGCTCCAGGTGTTCAACCCGTTCCGATGGCTCGTTTGAAATTAGTGTTGGCTAGGCTTTGTTCGATGCCGATGACACGTAAGCGATAGCCGTGACAGCTGACCACTGATGAACCACATTATTAGCAGTTGTTCCTTTCGAACCAACGTAAATGTACGTTAGCTCTGTTTTGGATTCCATCAAACGCGAATTGGCGAAGGTTTACTTAACATACAAAAGATACGCCCAAATGAGAATTGAACATCGTTCCTTTTAGAGGATGATTAAAAAATAATTTCATTTTTTTTAGAAATTGTTATTAAATTCTATAAAATTTCAATACTTCAACGACACAATTTTCAGTTTTATTACACTTGTTTTTATCGATTCTGTTCTTTTTTAGTATCTTCCTCGCATCGGTGTTAATTCACTTGTTGGTCAAAGAGAAATTCTACTTCGTTCTCATCTTCCAAATTAATTCCACAATTAATAGACAAAATTCTTTACGACTAGCAATCGTTCAGAGATTATAGCAGCGCTTTTCTTCAAATCAAACCAAAAAGGACCCGTTCAATCTCGAGATTATGTCGAATTCGAATGCCAAAAATTGGTCAGGAAATTTTTC